GATGTATCTGTAGGAAGAAGGTAAGCTCCATTTCTCAATCCTTCACTATACTGATCACCTCCTCAAGGATCTTTAAGTTAATTGGATCCCAATGCATAGGATTTTATGCCTCAGGGCTTTGTCAAATATGGTAGAGAGCCAGAAACTAGTGCAACCTAACTGTTGGTATATGATAGTCACGTACAATTGTGAGAGCTGACCATAAAGAGGCAGAGTGCTGAAAAATTGATGCTGTTGAACTGCAGGACTCTTGAGAGTTCCTTGGACAGCAAGGAGATCAAATCAATCAGATCAAATCAGTCAGTCCTAAAGGAAATGAACTCTGAGTACTCATTGGAAGGACTAATGTGAAACAAGCTCCAATTATTTGGTTACCCGATGTGAACAACCAAACATTTGAAAAAGACTCTTATGCTGGGAAAGAGGTGACAAAGGATGAGATGATTGGATGGCATCATAAAAGAGATGGACATGAACTTGGTCAAACTCTGGGAGATGGTGGAGGACAGGGAGGCCTGGCATGCTGCAGTCATTGGGATAGTGAATAATTGGACAGAACTTGGTGACAGAACAGCAACAACAAATTGTTGGTATGATACTAAGAAAGGCCTAGAGCTTGACAGAGAGATCAGGGAAAGAGTTGCCCAGGACAACTGCTAGAACCACTGTTGTCCCTGGGTGATTGACATGTTCCCAAGGGTGTATTTTGGCAGTGAGATGAGAGGAAAAAAAAATTTGAAAAATTGAAAACAGTGCTCAAATACAAAATTGGGGGGAAAAAAGCCTATCTACACATCCAAAATCTCAACCAACTCTTAGCAGGATAAAAGGGAAAAAAATCATACTCAGATAAATAATAGTAAAATTAATAAAGGATAAAGATTTTCAAGAACATCTTTAAAACAGCAAATCCTTGTGCTAATTATGTACAAAGGTATTTCAAAAAAGCTAGCTGTCAAAAACAGTGGCAGTCAGAAGGGGTTCCAGAAAAGAAAGAGACAGAGAAAAGCTCTGAGAAAATATTTGGAGAGATTATAATCGAAAACTATCCTAACATAGGACAGTAAAAATTCAAGTGCAGGAAACCCGAAGTCCTATACAAGATAAAGTCAAGGAGAAACAGGACAAAACATAGTTAATCAAACTAAAGGGGTGAAAAAAATGAAATAAAATATAAAAATATTAAAAATATCAAGGAAAAAATCAAGAAATACCATATGAGAAATTCCAGATAACACTATCAGCTGATTTTTTAGCACAGATTCTGCAGGCCAGAAGGGAGTGTGAAGATACATTTAAAGTAATGAAAAGGAAAAAAAAAAATACAATCAAGAGTACTCTACTCAGTAGCACATTCAGCTTTAGTGAAGAAATCAAAAGCTTTACGGAGAAGAAAAAGCTTAGAGAATTCAGCACCACTAAACCAGCTCTACAAGAAACACTAAAGGAATTTCTTGAAGCAGGTAACAAAAGAGAAAAAACCCTACAACCCCAACTCAAAACAATTAAAAAATAGCAATAGAAACATGCATATTGATAATTACCTATTTTAATTTTAATTTGAGGACAATTACAATGTTGTGCTGTTTCCATCATACCACGATGAAAATCAGTCATAATCGATAGGCATGTGTATAGTCATATATATGTATAGATCCCCTCCATCTTGAGGCTTTCCCTAATACCCACATCCCACTCCTCTAGGTCATCAGAGACTGCCAGGCTGGGCTCCCTGTATCACATATCAGCACCCACTAGATATTTATTTTACACATGATAGTGCATATATGTCAACTGTAATTTTTCAGTTCATCCAAAACTTTCTTTCCCCCATTGTGTCCACAGATTGTCCTTGATGTCTGTGTCTCCATTCATGTCCTGAAAATATGTTCATCAGCACTATTTTTATAGATTCCAATTAGTATGCTTTAATATATTTGTTTTTCACCTTTTTATTTACTTCACTTTTTATAACGGGCTCTAAACCTCATACACCTCACTACCACTTACTCAAATCCATTCCTTTTTATGGATGAGTAATATTCCCTTTTATATTACTACAACTTCTTTATCCATTCAACTATCAATGAATGTCTAGGTTGTGTCTATGCCTGGCTATAGTAAATAATGCTTCAGTGAACAATGGGATGCATATGTCTTTTAAAATTGTGGATTTCTGAGGTGATATTCCTGGTAGTGGGATTGCTGGGTTATACAGTAGCTTTATTCCTAGTTAAGGAAGCTCCATACTATACTCCATAGAGGCTGTATAAATTTACATTCCCACCAACAGTACAAAGAGGATTCCCATTTATCTACATACTCTCCAACATTTACTGTTTGTAGATCTTTCGATGATGGGTATTATGACTAGTGTGAAGTGGTACCCTAATTTAGATTTAACTTGCATTTCTATAATAATTAGTGATGTTGATCATCTTTTCACATGTTTGTTAGCCATCTGTATGTCTTCTTTGGAAAAGTGTCTGTTTAGGTCTTCTGCTCATTTGAGCTGCTAGAGCTGCTTATATATGTTGGAAGCTAATCCTTTGTCAGTAGCTTCATTTGCAAATATTCTGTCCCATTTGGAGGATTGACTTTTTTCATCTTGACATATTATTTTTTTCTTTGCTGTGCAACAGCTTGTATGTTTAATCAGCTGTAATTTGTTTATTTATGTTTTATTTCTATTTCTATTACTTTAGGAAGTGGGTCATAGAGAATCTTATAATTTATGACAAAGGGTGTTCTGCCTATATTTTCTTCTAAGAGTTTTATGGTTTCTGGCCTTAGGTTTATGTCTTTAATCCATTTTCAGTGGACATTATGACACTAATAATTATGTAGTGTCCTTCCTTGGCTCATAATATTTATTTTAAAGTCTAGTTTACCTGATAAGTATATTTCTACTCCTGCTTTCTTTTGATGTGCATTTGCATGGAATACCTTTTTCCAGTCTCTCACTTTCAGTCTGTAAGTGTCCCTAGGTCTGAAAAGGGTCTCTTGTAGACCAAATATATATGGGTCTTGTGTTCATATACATTCATCCAGCCTGTGTCTTTTGGTTGGAGCATTTCATCAATTTATACTTAAGGTAATTATTGATATGTATGAACCTATTACTATTTACTTTGTTGTTTTGGGTTTGTGTTTGTAGGTCTTTTCTTTATCTTGTGTTTCCTGTCTTGAGAAGTTCCTTTACTACTTGTAAGCTGGTTTTGTGGTGCTGAATTCTCTTAACTTTTGCTTATCTGTAAAACTTTTAATTTCTCCACTGAACCTGAATGAGATCCCTGTGGGCAGGATGTCCACTCTCATTACTATTGTTCAACGTTGTTCTGGAAGTTCTTGACATAATAAGTGAAGAAGAGCAAAAACAGAAGGAATTAAAAGTGGAAAAGAAGACATAAAACTGTCACTGTTTGCAGATACCATGATCCTATAGATAGAAAATCCTAAAGACACCACCAGAAAACTACTAGACCTAATCAATGAACTTAGTAAATTTTCAGGATACAAAATTAATACACAGAAGTTTCTTGCATTCCTATACACTAACAACAAAAGACCAGGAGGAGAAATCTGGGAATCAATCACATTTAACATAGCATCAAAAAGAATAAAGTGCATAGGAATGAAACTACTAAAGAAAGTAAAAAAAAAAAGTTTACATTCAGAAAGCTATAAGACACTAGTAAAAAAAAAAAATCAAAGATGACAGAAAGAGTTTTAGAAATATACCATAGTTTTGTGCTCACTTCAGCAGCACATATACTAAAAATTGGAATGATACAGAGAAGATTAGCATGGCCCCTGCCCAAGGATAACACGCAAATTCGTGAAGTGTTCCATATTTTTTCCAGTCAAACTACTTTGACAGCACCCACAACCACCAGAACGGTCTGTGTGAGGAAGAGGAGGCAGCCTCAGCACCTACAGTTGAAGACCAGGTAGCTGAAGCTGAACCTGAGCCAGCGGAAGAATACACTGAACAAAATGAGTTTGAATCAACAGAGAATGTAAATAGACAATTTATGGCCGAAACACAGTTCAGCAGTGGTGAAAAGGAGCAGGTAGATGAATGGACAGTTGAAACAGTTGAGGTGGTAAATTCACTCCAGCAGCAACCTCAGGCTGCATCTCCTTCAGTACCAGAACCCCACTCTTTGACCCCAGTGGCTCAGGCTGATCCCCTTGTGAGAAAACAGAGAGTACAGGAGCTTATGGCACAAATTCAGGGGCCCTATAACTTCATACAGGGTTCAATGCTGGATTCTGAAGACCAGACACTTGATCCTGCCATTGTATCTGCACAGCCGATGAATCCAGCACAGAACATGGACATACCCCAGCTGGTTTTCCCTCCAGTTCATTCTGAATCTAGACTTGCTCAACCTAATCAAGTTTCTGTACAGCCAGAAGCTACACAGGTTCCTTTGGTTTCATCCACAAGTGAGGGATATACAGCATCTCAACCCTTGTACCAACTTTCTCATGTTACTGAGCAACGACCACAAAAGGAACCAATTGACCAGATTCAGGCAACGATCTCTTTAAATACAAACCAGACTACAGCGTCATCATCCCTTCCTGCTGCTTCTCAGCCTCAAGTGTTCCAGGCTAGGACAAGCAAACCTTTACAAAGCAGTGGAATCAATGTAAATGCAGCTCCATTCCAATTCATGCAAACGGTGTTCAATATGAATGCCCCAGTTCCTCCTGTTAATGAACCAGAAACTTTAAAACAGCAAAATCAATACCAAGCCAGTTATAACCAGAGCTTTTCCAGTCAACCTCACCAAGTAGAACAAACAGAGCTTCAGCAAGAACAACTTCAAACAGTGATTGGCACTTATCATGGTTCCCAGGACCAGCCCCATCAAGTACCTGGTAACCACCAGCAGCCTCCTCAGCAGAACACTGGATTTCCACGTAGCAGTCAGCCCTATTACAACAGTCATGGTGTGTCTCGTGGAGGTTTCCGTGGTGCTTGAGGCTTGATGAATGGATACAGAGGACCTGCTAATGGATTCAGAGGAGGATATGATGGTTACTGCCCTTCATTCTCTACTAACACTCCAAACAGTGGTTATACACAATCTCAGTTCAGTGCTCCCCAGGACTACTCTGGCTATCAGCGGGATAGATATCAGCAGAATTTCAAGCGAGGCTCTGGGCAGAGTGGACCATGGGGAGGCCCACGAGGTCATGGAGGGCCCCCAAGACCCAACAGAGGGATGCTGCAAATGAACACTAAGCAACTGAATTAATCCAATTCACAGAATTATGTTTAATTGCCAAAAGCACACTGGCCAGTGTACCATAATATGTTACCAGAAGAGTTATTACCTATTTGTTCTCCCTTTCAGGAAACTTATTGTAAAGGGACTGTTTTCATCCCATAAAGACAGGACTACAATTGTCAGCTTTATATTACCTGGATATGGAGGGGAACTATTTTTACTCTGCATGTTCTGTCTTAAGCGTCATCTTGAGCCTTGCACATAATACTCAGATTCTTCACCCTTGCTTAGGAGTAAAACATAATATACTTTAATGGGGTGATATCTCCATAGTTGTTTGAAGTGGCTTGGATAAAGCAAGATTGACTTCTGACATTGGATAAAATCTACAAATCAGCCCTAGAGTCATTCAATGGTAACTGACAAAACTAAAATATTTCCCTTGAAAGGAAGATGGAAGGAGTGGAGTGTGGTTCAGCAGAACAACTGCATTTCACACCTTTTCCAGTTAAATTGGAGCACTGAACATTTAGATGCATACCAAAGTATGCATGGGCCCTTAATCACACATACAAGGCTGGGTACCAGCCTTAGGCTTTGACAAGGCACTATTCATCCTCTGGCCAGACGACTGTGGTTTAAGACACATGTAAATTGCTTTTTAACAGCTGATACTGTATAAGACAAAGCCAAAATGCAAAATTTCAAAAAATTGAAGATTATGCAACAATTAAGGGATATAATCTGGATGGCCACTTCTGTACTTAATGTGAAATATTTAGATACCTTTGAACACTTAACAGTTTCTTTGACAATGACTTTTGTAAGGATTGGTAGTATATATCATTCCTTATGATGTACATTGTCTGTCACTAATCCTTGGATCTTGCTCTATTGTCACCTAAATTGGTACAGATACTGATGAAAATCTAATGGATAATGGTAACACTCTTGGTCACATGTTTTTCCTGCAGCCTGAAAGTTTTTAAAAGAAAAAGACATCAAATGCCCGCTGTTGCCACCTTTTAAATTGCTGTCTTTTCAAAAGCACCAGTATGTGTTTTAGATTGATTTCCCTATTTTAGGGAAATGACAATCAATAGTTTCACTTCTGATAGTATAAGCAAACAAATAAAACATGTTTATAAAAAAATAATAATAATAAAAATTAAAAAAAAAGAAATATACCATAGTTTTGGATTGGAAGAATCAATATTTTGAAAATTACTATTCTATAAAAAATAATCTACAGATTCAGTGCAATTAATATCACATTACCAATAGTATATTTCAAAGAATTAGAACAAAAAAGTTTACAATTGGTATGGAAACATAAAAGACACTGAAAAGCCAAAGCAGGCTTCAGAAGGAAAATGGAACTGGAGAAAGCAGACTCCCTGACTTTAAACTATATTGTAAAACAACAGTCATCAAAACAATGTGTTACTGGAGCAAAAATAAAAATATATGGAATAGGATAGTAATCCCAGAGATAAATGCATGCACCTCTTTTCACTTAATCTATGGCAAAGGAGGCAAGAATATACAAAAGAATAATTGGTGTTAGTAAAAAAAATACATAACTACATGTAAAAGAAATTAGAATACATCCTAACACTATACACAAAAACAAACTGAAAGTGAATGAAAGGCTTATATTTAACACTGTGCACTACAAAATTATTAGAGAAAAATTTAGACCACTTTTTGACATAAATCATGGCAATATCTTTTCCAGTCCACCTCTTAGAATGATAAGTATAATAACAAAAATAAACAAATAGGTCCTAAGGAAACTTAAAAACTTTTACACAGCAAAATAAAACATAAATAATAATAATAAAAAGGACAGCCCTTAGAATGGGAGAAAGTATTTGCAAACAAAGCAATGACAAAGGTCTAATCTCCACAATATGCAAACAGTTTACGAAGCTCTGAGGGCTTCCCTGATAGCTCGATTGGTAAAGAATCTGCCTGCAATGCAGGAGACTGGGTTCAATTCCTAGGTCAGGAAGATCCCCTGGAGAAGGGCTAGGCTACCCACTCCAGTTATTCTTGGACTTCCCTTGTGGCTCAGCTGGCAAAAAATCCGCCTGCAATGTGGGAGACCTGGGTTTGATCCCTGGGTTGGGAAGATCCCCTAGAAAAGGGAAAGGCTACCCACTCCAGTATTCTTGCCTAGAGAATTCCATGGAGTCGGGCATGACTGAGAAGAGTTGGGCATGACTGAGAAGCTTTCACTGCCATAAAGCTCAACATAAATAACAAACAACCAAATAAAAAAAATGGCCAAAAGACCTAAATAGACATTTTGTCAAAGAAGACATGCAGATGGCCAAGAAGCAATTGAAAATATGCTCAATGTTGCCAATTATTAGAGAAATGCAAATCAAAACTACAATGAAGTAACATCTCATACCTGTAAGAATGGTCATCATCAGAAAATCTACAAGAAAATAAATGCTAGAGAGGGTGCAAAGAAAAGGAATCCCCTCTTGCACTGTTGGTGAAAATATAAATTGATACAGTCCCTATGTATGGAGATTCCTTAAAACAAAACAAAACAAAACACTAAACTAGAAGTAGAGCTACTATATGAATCAGTAACCCCACTCCTGAGCATATATCCTAAGAAAACCATAATTCAAAACAGTACATGCAAATCAATGTTCATTGCCACACTATTTACAATTGCCAGATGTAAATGTCCATCAACAGATAAATGGATAAAGAAGATGTGCTATGTATATTCAACAGTATAATAGTCATAAAAAGCCAAAATTATGTTATTTATAGAGATGTGGATAAATGTAGAGTCTGTCATACAGAATGAAGTAAGTCAGAAGAAGAAGAATAATTATATACTTGTGCATGTATATGGAATCTTGAAAAATGATACAGCTGAACCTATTTGCAGGGCAGGAATGAAAATGGCAGACATAGAAATCAAATGTGTGGAGGTGGGGATGGGTGGGATGAATTGGTAAATCAGATTGACCTATGTGCACTGCCATGTATAAAATAGATATGCAGTGCAAATTTATAGTATATCTCAGCTTGGTGCTCTGTAGTCACCCAGATGGATAGAATGGAGGGTGTGGAAGGGGATCTAACAGAGAGGCAATATATGTATGTATATAGCTGATTCACTTCATTGTATAGAAGAAACAAACACAATATTGCAAAGCTAATACACCTCAAGTTAAAAAAAAAAAAAAAAGAACAATCTGGAAAAAAAAAGGAAAAATAAAATTGGAGTACAAATATTCATATCGGACAAAATAAACTTTAAAGCAAATATTATGAGACAAAAAAGACATTATATAATGATCTAGGGATCAATCCAAGAAGAACACATAAGTATTGTAAATATATATGCACCCAGCATAGTAACACCTCAATATGTAAGGTAAATGGTAGCATCCATAAAAGAGATCAATAATAATGCATTATTAGTAGGGATTTTAACATGCCACTTACACCACTCTTCACGTCATCCAAACAGAAAATTAATAAGAAAATGCAAGTTTTAAATGACACATTAGACCAGATAAATGTAATTGATATTTATAGGACAATCCATCTGAAAACAACAGAATACAAATTCTTCTCGAGTGCTTATGGAATATTCTCCAGGACAGACCACATCTTAGGGAACAAGTCAAGCCTTAATAAATTTATGAAAATTGAATTCATATCAAACAACTTTCCTGACCACAATGCTGAGATTAGATATCAACTACAGAAAAAAAAAATGCAAAAAACACAAGCACATGGAAGCTAAGCACTATGTTGCTAAGTAATCAATGGGTACCTGTAGAAATCAAAGGGAGAATTGAAAAAATATCTACAGAAAAATGACAATGAAAACATGACAATACAAAACCTATAGGAGGGAGCAAATGTAGTTCTAAGAGGGAAGTTTATAGTAATACAATCTCATCTCAGGAAACAAGAAATATCTCAAACAACCTATCTTCACACACAAAACAATTGGAGAAAGAAAAAGGAACTAAAAGTAGAAAGAAAGAAATCGTAGACGTCTCAGCAGAAATAAATGAAATAAAGATGAAAAAGAATAGCAAGGATCAATGAAACTAAAAGTTATTTTATTTGTTTTTTTTTTTTCCATTTCAGTGAAAATGTATTGAATATCTATTGTTTGCAAAGTACCGTGCTAAGTGCAGATTCAAAGATGAATGAGATATTCCTAATAAGCTTAAATCCAGTAAAGAGGTCATAATACCACAGATAATATGAAAAGAAACATATAAATAAATATGTGAACATAAAAGAGCAAGATAACATTTTCACCATGGCAGAATCATAGTAGTATTAGAAAAAGTATCCAAAACAAAAATAATACAAAAAGTTTGGGGCCACATATTTTCAATGTCATAAGAAAGTGAAGGTCATCCAAGGATTGTCAGGACAATGATCAGAAAATGTTTTTTATAAAAGTCCAGTTAGTAAATATTTTTACTTTTCTGGGCCATACCATCTCACAAATACTCAACTCTGTCATAACATGAAAGCAGCCATACACCATTTGTAAATAAATGAGTGGCTAGATTTAGCCCACAGACCAACCCCTGTTGTGGGAGACCTAGGTTGTAATTTGCCAACCCCTGATCTGGGAGACCTTGGATAATAACTTATTCAGCTCTCTATTCACTATTGACTTAAGGTTCCAGACTTACTGATGTTATATGTTAACTTGTAGATTTTTGTCTTGTCTAAATCCAAATAATTTCTGTCTGTAGACAGATAACTCCAAAGTTGCACATTACTCAGTTTGCATCTAACCCAGTAATCTTATATTCCTATCAACGTGCTGTACTGTGCTTAGACACTCAGTTGTGTCTGACTCTTTGTGACCACATGGAAGAGCCCACTAGGCTCTTCTGCCCATGGGGATTCTTCAGGCAAGAATATTGGAGTGGGTTGCCATACCCTTCTCTAGCGGAATCTTCCCGACCCAGGGGTCAAACCAGTGTCTCCTGCATTGCATGTGGATTGTTTATCAT